ACTTTGAATATGTTGGTACTTACTTGGTGACCAAAGTACTTATATCTTAGCATTTATTGTTTTCTAATCTGTGTTTATTTCGTTCTATATGGTCTATTTTGGTGAGCTAAACTTTTATATGATAAACTGAGTGTGTTTAGATCTTAGATTCTTATTCTAATGACTGTTCTACAGGTTGGACATAAAATTTCTTGTTCTATTTCTAATATCAGTTTTTATTCTATTGTTTTGCTCTAATCATATGTTCTAATTATTAGAACTTAGAATATCTTGTCTATCTTTGCAAGTTCTAATATCTATGCTCTGATTATTAGAATTTAGAAAATCTTGCCTATTTTTTGCTAGTTCTAAAATGAGTTTCTAAAAGGTCTCCCTAGTTCTAATTTTCACAAAATAGTTTTATTGCAACTATTCTGGGGGAGCAAAATACATTTTCTAATTTGCTTTATATTAAGATCATTTGGCATGATTAGAACTTATATCCATAAAATTTAGGGGGAGCACATGCTTTTATGTTTATTAAATTTATTGGTTTTGTCATCATCAAAAAGGGGGAGATTGTTGGCTCAGGGGTCTCTAATCTGCGGATTTTGATGATAAAACAAAAACAAATAAATTAAATTATGTTATTTTGCTAAATATTATTTTATGCAGAATTTCTTATGGAAAGAAATCATACCAAGGCAAGTCCTACAAAAATTTCATTAGTGGTGTTGAAAGATAATTCGAAGACCCTAGTGGTTTAGGCTATTTAGGATAACTTGTAGGATAGAGAAGAAAAATCATATAAATGAGCACATAAATTAATTTTCTCTCAACAAAAATATTTTTCGGAAGATTAGATTTTTCCAAAATATATTCTGTTATTTGTTTTTGAAAAATATTTCCCTTTAAAATCAAAATGATTTAATTACCTAAAAACTAAAGAGAGTTTTATCTCTAAATGATTGATTTAAATGATTTTGGTAATAAATCATACATTATCTTTTTCGGAAATTTCTTTGAAAATCTAAAAGTACTTCAATTTATTCTCTTACCTTAAAAAAATGAAGGAAGAATCTTTTCGTTTTTAGTAAGAGCATCTTTTCGTAAAAATATTTTCCAAAATAAAATGCTGCCAAAAATCTTTTGTTTAAAGTAAAGTAAAATCGTCTTTTATTTTCTTACCAAAAGGATAAGATAAATTTTTGGAAACTAAGATTTTCTATCTTCTAAATAAAGGAAAGAAGATATTCTGATTTCAAAATGAAATATTCACTTTCCAAAAGCAAGAGACTCGAAGCTCTCTATATAAAGGAGTGTTTGTTCACTGCTTGAAACGTTGAGGGAAGTAAGAGATTTTTCATTTTAAGGAGAAAAATTCTCTCATTGATCAAATCTTTTTCTCAAAACTTACCTCTACCCCCATTTTTCTTTTCACTTTGCACTTCCACGTTTTTATCTTTAAAGAGAAAAGAATTTTTTACAATCTACTTTTTGAAAACAGTTCTTTGTGTTCTAAACGATTTTCCTAAATCTGATAACTGTATTTTCCTATGCTTATATGTGCATTCTTTCTGTTCTATTTAGATTCTGTAATCTATAGTAGACAGGTTTTTATTTAATAAACAATTTATGTAATTAGGCTTAGGTTAGAAGTATTTGTGAAAGAGGTTACAAGCGACCTTCTCCTTTTGTGCGATTCTAATGTCTTGAATTGAAGTTTTCTGTACTTCTGCCGGAAAACAGAAAGGTTGAGGTTAATTAAGAACTTTTGGAAAATCTAGTGGAAAAAATGAATCTCAGGTGTTTGATCTAATTGCCTTATTACTGTTGGTTTGTCGTCTTACCCTTGAAAAAGATGATAACATAGTGGAGGATCTTCAAGATGAGTTCCTTGGGAGTGGATGTAGGCGAGTTAGTACCGAACCACTATAAATCACTGTGTTGATCTTTTTTAAGTTCTGAAGTTTTGCTTTATACTGCTTATTTACACTTCTGTTATATTTTAGAAATGCTTTAAAGTTGTTACTGATTCTCTGATGTTCTAAAACTGTAATAAGTCTTATCTTCTCTGAATTTAAACTCTGGAATTCTGATAAGGGAATTATACCAAGTTCTAAATCGTTAATTCTATTTACAGTAATTTCAATCTTGCGGTTTTCTAATTAATTTCCTAAACTTTATGAGAAGTTCATAATTACAAATAGCTTTCCATCATAAAGTAGTTTTCTGATTATTGATTAAGGCTGTGAAGCCAGTTCTAAAAATTCAATAACTATCTCTCACACGTCTTATATGATTTGGCTAAATTTTATGAGGAAGTTTCTAATCTTTCAAATAGCTTCCTTCATAAAGAAGTTTAAAATTGAATAAGTCATTGTGAAGCAGTTCTAAAGCAATAGCTGCCCACTTGCAACAGACTTTCTATCTTTTATGAATAGAACATAGAACGTTGTGAGGTGATTCTAATTCATATTCTATTCTCACAAGTTCTCTGTTTTTCCGCTGCACTTAGAATTCTATATTTTATTTTAAAATTCTAAAATTTATATCTGTTTTTAGAAAACTTAATTCACCCCCTTTTGGGTTATGCCATACATATACGGGACCCACATGTTTTTCTTGGATAGTGACCTCTTCTTTTGAGAATAAGATTGTATATGTAGGGTTCTCTCTAGTTATTAGTATTTCTCTCTAGTTAATTTTTTTTTTTTTATTGTTGTAGTAAATATAGAAATAAAAAACTACAACAATAAAAAAAAAATTAACTTTCAAAATGATCAAAAAATTATATCATTATTTTTAAATATAGTAAATATTAATATTCGTCAATTTGTTTTTTGAAATAAAAATATGATGAAATCAACATTAATTGGATTATTCCACTTGATGAAAGCAAGAATATATAAAGCAAAATTATATATATAATCTCTTCCTTACCAACTACGTTCAACGGTTGAAAATACCTGTTCATTATAAAATTAAAGAAAAAAATATAAAAAAAAAATATAAAAGCGTGAGATTAATCATTGTTGTACGTGGTCATATGTGTTACCTTTCATTATAATATTATATTTTGTTAATCTTTATTGTACGTGGTCATATGTATCACCTTTCATTATAATATTATATTTTGAACTTATAATTAAGAGAAATGGACATTTTGTCTTTTCTAAGTATCTAGAAGACAAATTTATATATTTTGAACTCTAATTCTTTTCTAATGACACTAATTATATATTAGGGCCACGTTCTACTATATACATAATATATTATTAATTTTTGTTCATACAAAGTCAAAAAAACGGAAACTCTTTCATATATAAATTTAACTCAGACAGATTTTCAGTTGTACACAACGAAATCTCCACTTGTTTTAAGTTATAGAGTTAATCATCAGTTGATATATAATGGAGCTATCATTTTCCACCTCTTTCCTTCAAATTTTGTCACTCCCAATAACATCTTCGAAACAATAACATCTCTAAAGCCTCAATTTCCCCATTATATACAAGAAGTTACAAGGGACGTTATTCAAAAATTCGCTCCTTAAACCCTATTGTTGTAAAATCCCAATCCAATGTCGTTTTGTTTGAAACTACAAAAAGACGATCAGCAAATTATCATCCTAGCATTTGGAATCCAAAGTTGATCGAGTCCCTAACCACTCCTTATACGGTATTCTATTTCTTGATTGTGTAATTTGATTTCTTTTAGAGTTTGTTTGGCATTAAGGATATGATTTTTTTTTTATATAAAAGAAAATAATATTTTTTATGAGTATAATATTTTTAAAATTCAACTTAAAATATTCAATTTTTTTTTATATTGCATGTGAAATATGTCGTACGGATGAGATATATGAGTCAAAATATTTTATCAAAATCACCATAATTTTAATAAATGGTTTGTCAGGTCCATGTTTCATGTGTTAATATGCTTTCAAAATTGTCACTGCTTTAATTTAAAGGGGTTTTTTTTCACACACACACAAATATATAATAATATATATTATATATATATATATATATATATATATATATATATATTCACTTTAAAAATATTTTTTTTTCTGGTATAAACATTAAAAATAAATTTTAGTATAAACCTCTATTAGTATTTTGAAAAAGCAAATTTTCTTTCTCAATAGTATCTCGATAACAATTGCCAACACACCCTTAATATATATTTACAATTGCAACTTCTTATTTTGTTGATATTGCAGTATGATTCTCATGGCACCCGCTTAGAGGAGTTGAAGCAAGAGGTTATAAGGTCCCTTGCATCCTCTAAAGATACTCCTTGTGTCCAACTTAAGTTAATCGATTCTATGCAGCGTTTGGGAATTGCTTATCATTTTGAAGAAGAAATGAAAGAGATCTTAACCGTTGTTAAAATAGACACCAATTCAGATCTTTACACTACAGCTTTACACCTTAGGTTACTAAGACAACATGCATTTCCAGTTAGCTCAGGTGAAGTTTTATATTATTGCTCGCTGTCTAGAATAAATAAGGATCAATTTGTCTTATTTTTTCTTGTTTTATATAAAGCAGGTGTTCTTGACAAGTTCAGAGATAAAAATGGGAAATTCTTGGATAGTTTAGCTAGGGATGTGGAGGGACTATTGAGTTTGTATGATGCTTCACACCTTGGAATGCATGGAGAAGATGTTTTAGAGGAGGCCAAAAATTTCACCAGCCACCATCTTAAGTCATTACTGGGGAAGTTAGAGAGCAATAATATTTTAAGACAACAAGTGGAACAAGCATTGGATGTTCCTCTTCACTGGAGGATGCGAAGGATTGAGAATCGAAATTTTATCAATATCTACCAAAGAGATGATTCACACAACAAGGCTTTGCTAGAGTTGGCTATATTGGATTACAACTTGGTACAAACAACTTGGTACAATCAGTCTATCAAAAGGCGAGCTAAAGGAGCTAAACAAGTAAGATTTTTACTTATGATTCTCCTCCCCTCTTTTTACATATTTACACATGTCTATTGCATAAATTTGACTCTGTACTTTCGATGATTATCCTTGTGATCCCTGAACTTTGCAGGGAACCCATCATAACCCTACACTTTCACAATTTAATAATAACTATGCCCCTATCAAAATAAAATTTGAAAATGTATGGTCATGATTGAATTCCTAAAAAGATATTCATTTTGGCAAGTGAAAGTATAAGGTCATGACTAAACTCTTGCAAAGTTCAAAGGGTCACAAGGACAATCGTAGAAAATTTAAGGTCAAATTTATGCATTATGTATGGACTTCAATTAAAGAATGCATAATATTAATTTATTAGGTGGTGGACGTCATTGGATTTCAAAAAGAAGCTGCCGTTTTCTCGAGATCGATTGGTGGAGAATTATTTATGGGCATTAGGATCAGTATATGAGCCACAATACTCCAAATGCAGGATAGTTGCCACACAATTCACCTGCATTTTGAGTGCAATTGATGATATGTATGATATATATGGATCATTAGATGAGCTTGTTGGAACTTTTTGTTACACAAGCAGTAAACAGGTATTTAATCCAACAACTAACCCATGAAAAAAATTACTGTTACTATTATTATTTCATATTTTTCCCTAGATGATTATCAATATGTAATATTGCAGTTGGGGTAGAATGAATATGGATGAAACTACCAGAGTACATGAAGATAGTCATTCTGCTGTGTGTCGATTTTTGTATGAATTTGCATTAATCTAAATGAAGAAATGAAGAAGGCTTCAATGCTCTACCTTATATTAAGGAAGAGGTACAAAAATTATTTAAACGACCAATTTAAACAATATTTTGTTTTATACATTTCTCATTAATTAATTGTGTACATTGCAGTGGGCAAGACTTTGTAGCTCATATTTATTGGAGGCAAGGTGGTTTAGCAATGGATATACTCCAACTTTGAATGAGTATATAAGAAATGCATGGATCTCAATTGGAGGTCATGAAGCTATAATGCATGCTGCTATGTTTCTAGGGCATTATCTGTCCAAAGACTCGCTTCATAGTTTGAAGAATGGATATGAGCAAATAACCTATTGGTCATCCTTAATCACTCGACTTAACGATGACTTGGGAACTTCCTCAGTACGTTTTTATTTGGATTTTTTGATACATATTTGAAATATTAAAAGAATTTATAGTTCTGATTTTAAAAAAAAAAAAAAAGGGCTTTATAAGGAAATGAATTTTTGTGCATTTTGAGAATTTCCATTTATCATTTTTTTTCTTTTTTTTTTTTGGAATCCAAAGGCTGAAAGCGAAAGAGGTAGACGTAGCAAAATCATTACGAGTGCTATATGAGTAAACCAATGCCATCTGAGGATTGAAGCGAAAAAAAATCATAATAAGGGGTATGATCAATGATGCTTGGAAAGAAACTAAATTAAGAGAGCGGTAAAACTTCTCTCCCAGATTCCTTGTCGACATGTCTTTAAAACCATGGCCAAGAACTGCTTCAAAAGTATCTTTCAAACATGGGATGCAATTGGAACATTCAATTGGTCACCAAAAAACATTGTGATTCATTATTGTTTCAAACCTATTCAACCAGAATGATTCAGAAACTTTTATTATTTTCCATGTTTTTCAACAGTTAATGAATATTGTTCTAGGGTTTCCTTTCTTCCCTGTTCCCCTTAAAAAATACTATACTCCCCTTAAAAAATACTATACGTTTTTTTTGTCATTGTATCAATTCATCTGAATGATACTTTTTACGTCTCATAAATAGGCTTGATTCCTTTTTTGTTTGTTCCATATTATTGTCTAGTGTTTATTTGTTTATTTATTTTTTTTTTAGAAATGGATAATTTATAAAGTTTTTTATTTTATCCTATTTAATAATAAGTAAATAATACTTAAATATTCTATAATTCATAACTTTAAAATAAACTAGTGTACATAAACAACTTTGAAAATAGTCTTGTTAGCCAAGTCTATTTTATTGCCTTAATTATTATGTTTAAAATTTAAGTTTTTATTAGTTCTTCATCGTTAATACAAGGTCATATTGGGAAAAACCAAAGGAAAAATTATGATGTACTCATATTAACCTCTTTTGTCAAAAAAACTATGTCAAAGTTAAACCACCCTTCAAATTTTGGAAATCATATTTGCAAATGAGAAACGGATTAGAAATTTAAAACCGAACCATACTGCTTCAATTACAAAATATCGATCTGATTTAGTTTGACATCTAAAGTCGAAAGGTTTAAAAACCAGTTCAAACCCAAAAATTGAAAACTTGAATAGACCTAATAAAGTCTAGTTTTTGACTTTTTTTTCTCTTACTATCTTTTTTTTTCTTTACCTAAAGTATCATCTCCCGTTATTTTTTACAATGACACGCATATATATAATTTTACCTAGAAACTTATAAAAATAATTTAAAATGATGGAGTTTTGTAGGAAAACTTAAAAATCAGTAAAAATATGTATAATAATTTTTTTTGAAAAAATATTTTTTTTGAAAAAATATAATAAACTCATTTATGGTTTTAATATGTAAAATAGATTTTTATAATAATTCTTTAGTTATCATTTTAGTTAATTAATAAATAATTTATTTTTCTAAGTATTGATAATACAACTAATATAATTCTATCAACTTTTCTCTCTTTATGCTACTTAATTAGACTTTGAGGAAAAGAATCCCCAGGTATTGTTACCTTAAGTTGTTGGGACATCGTATAATTATATTAATATCTATGAAAAATAAGCTATTTTTATCTTTTTATATTTATTTAGTACTCTCTCCGTTCTATTTATATAGAGAAAATTTTCTTTTTGAACATTCTATTTAAATAGAGAAATTTTCCTAATATGATAACTTTGGGACTAATGCCAAAACAAAAAGTCTAATATGTTTTTGTTTTTATTTATAGATTAAATATTGATTTGAGGAGTGTTTCAAGAAAGTGTCAGACATTATTGTGGTTGGCATTTAATGTTTAAAATTGACTGAACCGTGCATTATGGAAATGTGAGATTCAAGCATATTATGCGCACAGATTAAATTTCACCAAGAAACTTATACTTAATATTTAACTGTACACATACACTGAAATTTACTCACAATTCTAATAAATCTTCAACAAAGTGGAATTTCCTTTCAAATGATAGTGCTTAAATAAAAATAGTTGTCCCCATTTATATCTACTCTAATTAACGTTCCATTTTTTACATAACCAAATTATATAAATCGTCTTAGTAGATATGAATAAACTGTCTGCGACTTTACGAACATGCGAGTATTCAACTCACCCTTCTCAGTTTTAGAACACAACAATATACAAAGTGTATTTTCACATCTTCAATGATGTTTTTCCTTCTGTTGCATTTTCGAGCCTCTTCTAGAACGTTAATTGGTGGTTATGTGGTTTCAGATTCTATAGAATGCGATTATTCAGTGGATGACAAGGATATCAAGTCTAGGGGTTGATTGTTAAGTATGAGCATATTTTCTGAAGTTGCAAGCAAGTCTTGAGGGACTATATTCAAATCAAAAGGAAAGACTGTGTCCATGGCATTTGTGAATTAAATTTTAGGGTTGTGAATTCATTCCTATTTAAATGAATTCAGTTTTGAAAAATTTGGCTCCAAATTTTATTTTTTTACGCGCAAATTTGGAGAAGCAAAATAAAGAATTTGAGGTTGAAAATTTTAGCTCCAAACTTTCTTTCAATTTTCATGTCAATTTTTCCAATCCAAATTTGATATTGAAACTTTAGTGCGAAATTGCAATTAAACAGCCCATGTTTTTTAATTATTGGGAGTCTAAACAAATAAAACTCTTTATTTAACTAAGACATCATCTCTCTCATCATTTATCACCTTTTATTGAAAATTGAAAAGAACCTTAATATCTTTTCAAGGGTAAATTAGGAAAAAATACATAAAAAGATCACTTTCTTAATTCTAGAGAAATTTTGACTTTTTCTTTATAAATAGAATGAAAGGAGTATGAGAAATGATAATAAAATCTTAATGTCAAACTAATATATTATAATTGCCTAGTTTCATGTATTATGTCTTATCAAGTATTAAAAAAAAATTTACTCCTCCATTTTATTTATACAAAGAAAATCAAAATTTTCTAAGATTCAGAAGGTGGCCTTTTGTAGATTTTTTTGTAGCTTACCCTCGAAAAGACATTTAAGTGGCCCACAAGTTTCAATAAAAGAGTGGTAAAATGATGAGAGAATGTGTTATTTAAATGAGGAGTTTTATTTTATTAGACTTTCAACAAAATAAAATGTGGGCTCCGCTATTGGAACTGCCCAATAAAATTTCAACCTCAAATTCAGATTGAAAAATTGGCGTGAAATTTAAAAGAAAATTTAGATTGTCATGTAAAAATATTCACATATCTTTGCTATAAGTGTGGACTAATTATTCTATATGTTTGCAATACTTTAAGTTATCTAGAAGGTAAAGTTGATCAAAGTGAATGTAAATGGGCACAACAATTTTGATTTACGCACTATCGTTTGAAGGGAAATTTTCTTTCATTCTGAATTTATTAGAGTTGTGTGTAAATCTCACTATATGTGCACATTTAATTATTAAGCATACACAGAAATTGTATATATAATTTAGACTATGCTTGCACTTGGTCAAATTCAGTATGTGTGCATAATGTGAAGAAGTTCTCACTTTTTTTATTCCACGATTCAATTTATTTTGGAACATTTATTGTCTAACCACAATAATATCTGCTACTTTCTTGAAATCCTCCTAAAGTTAATATTTAAACTAAAAACCAAAATAATGACATATTGAACTTTTTGCATTGACATTAGTCTAAAGTTACCATTTTAAGCAATTTTCTCTGTATACGTGGTCCAAATTCCAACCACAATCTAGTAATGGTGTTGGTTAGATTATTTAGTCCGGTTTGCTTTATTTTTGATAAATAATTACTAATTAAAAGTCAAAAAAATCAAACTATGCCTACGTGGTCCAAATTCCAACCACAATCTAAAAAGTCAAAAAATCAAAAACCTATTGCCTACGTGGTACAAATTCAACCACCATCTAGTAATGTGCCGGTTAGATTTTTTTAGTCCGGTTTTTTAAAAAGCATTGATTAAAGATGACAATAACAACCTAAAATTAAAAAAGGACTATATTTAAATGGATCATTTTTTGATCAAGATCAAAATCCACTTTGATTAACTTCAAATGTAACTCTTGCACCTTTTTTCAAATATTCTCAACCAACATATATATTACCTCCAGGCAAAAAAATAGTTCACTTTCTATTTTTTTCACACAGATTAAGAATTATGATTGAAGGACAATTTTATTCATATACTTTCCTATTATATTCATTTAAATGAACTATATAGATTGAAATTGAATAACTAACAGTTTTAATGAGTGATTTTATTATAAAATAAGTAATTTAATAAGAATATAATAAACATTCAAGATTCAACTACAATGTTTAAAAAAGGAAAATGGACTATATTTTAAGGACAAATCAAAAGGAAAAATGGACCATTTTTTGGGACTGAGGGGAGTACAAATTCACAAGAGAGAATGAAAAATTGATTTCTTTAGTGATAAGAAATCACAATCTATTTTCTATTATACTATTACTAGAATAAAAATTTTCAAATATTTTTTGCTGGATGTGAATCTATTGAGTAGAATGTTTAAATAGACTTAAATTCATTATCGGGTACAATATATATTAAAATGGACTTTAATCCTTACAATATGGTGAGGGAAGGTCTTGCTGGAAGAAGGCGCCTTCATCCTTTGTCATGTATGAAAGAATTACTGGGTACCAAACCTAAAAACCCAATGGTATTTGTTGATTGATCTTTTCTCTCAATAAATTAATGCATGCTCTCTTTCCTTAATTATAACTCTTCTTTAACCTTTATATTAATTAAATTAAACTTAAATCAATAATTATTGCATGATTTGACTCATCGTTACTATTGAATTTTTTATTTTTTCCTTCTAAGAAAATTGAAGCTTAACAATACGAGATTAATGTGAACAGATAAAATTCCGATTTATCTAGCCTTTTATTTTTTTTTAATTGCTATTATCAATGAATTCCGATTCAATTT